GAGCAGCGGGCAAGACAGGAGAGGTCTGCTGTGCCTTGTGGGTCAGCCCCGGGCGGGGATCGAACTTGTGCTGCAGTGGCTGCGGACAGCTTCATAGTGCTGTGTTTTAACCTGCTGCGCCAGGGAGGCCCCCAGCCGGCTCTTAGCCACTTCGTGTGCTCCTTCCAGAAGGAAGCCATTTATCAGGGTGTTGGCGTGACACCAGAAAAATTCAAGGCCTCCCCAAATATCCCAGCTCCCAGTACCCAGCCCAGCATCATGACATTCCTAGGCAGGCTGAGGGGTCCTTTACCACAAAATCAGGGGTGGAGAGGCCAGCTCCCCTCCACACCCGAGTCACTCTCACTCTTTCTGTCCCTCGGTTTCCCACCTGGTCAGGATGGAGTTGAATTTACTCCAAGGCCCTAAGAGGGTCAGAGCAACACTGTCCAATCAAAACACAAGGTAATTAAAGATTGTTCTAGCTACATTCAAAGCAGTAAAAGGACATCAGAGAGGGCCCTCCCTGGTGGCACAAGGGGTTACAGCATAGCACTGCAAGCTGGACGCAGCTGCTTCAGTGTGAGTTCGATCCTCAACTCTGAAGGTGACCCACATGGCACAGCAGACCTCTCCTGGCTTGCCCGCTGCTCCCCTCAGCAGTGTATCTCATCAGTCTTCCTATTCTGCTCCCCACGCTGTCTTTGTCCTCTCACTGCCCCTGTACCTCTGGCCTGCACCCCAGTTTCTGTATGCATAAATAAATAACATCTTAAAAAAAAAAAAAAGGACATCAGTGAAATGAATTTCAAGACTATGTTTTGTTGAACCCAACCTAGGGACCATGCGATCATTGCAAAATATAATTCACAATTGAAAAAAATCCAGTGTAAAAATATAATACTTCATAATCTTCTCATACTAAAGCTTTTGAAGTCGCATGTAGATTTCTCACTCAACTGTCCACGAGGACCAGCCTTGGTGTCAAAGCTTATGGCCACACACAGCTGCTGGTTACCACACGGCCATGTAGGTCTAGAATCTTTCACACTGCATAGCCCACGTTGGGAAGCTCCTGAGGTCCCCTGGGGAAGTTGCCATGAGCCCCTATACAAGTTCCACGTCACCCTAAGAACCCACAGAAACACCAGGCCACCAGGCCACCAGGCCAGGAGGCTGGTGGCTGCCGGACACGCTTCCTTCCCTCGGCAGCCACAGATTACTCACCCCAGCCCCTGGAAGGCAGACAGCCTGCTTTTCCTCCCCAAGATTGCCTTAATTGGAAATTCAGTCTGAGTTTAAAATCCAGCCAGGCAGCTGGCAGCTGCCCCCCCCCCCCGACATGCACCAACCCTGTGGCTACAAGACACGCTCCTCACTCCCCGGATGCACAAGAAATCCAAGTGGCCCCGGGGCCCTCCCAGCACCAGCGCACGGCGGAGAGCGACTCTCCCACTGACACCCGGGTGCCCTGGAGCGAAGCACTGTCATGTTCCAGGACACAGGTCTAGGCAGGAAGAACAAGGGGAGGGCTTCTCCCCTGCTCCCATCTCCTGCCCTTAAGGTCCAGCACATTGGGTGACTAGGTTGGCTTTGATGCTGGCTGCTCCGGGCCAGGCACTTTCCAGGTGTTATTACCACATCTTCTCTTCAGTACATCCCAGGGGAAAAAGCATTGGATTCAGAGTGGAACAACCATTGGCCAAGGTCACACAGCTTTTCAGGAGAAAAGCCAGAATTCCAATCAAGGCCTTTGGAACCAAGAGCCTGTACTGTGACCTACCTGGGGGCTGCGTGGCCAGGGCCAGAATGGGCCTGGGTCATGGCCATCATGACTGCACACGCTTGGCATGACTGTGGGTCTGCTAGGCCCGAGCGGCCTGCTCGGCCACTGTTTTGTTACCTGCGGTTCTGTGTGCCTAAGCAAGGGCAGAACTGCCCGGTCAACCAGGTACAGGAGCCCAGCCTGCAAGGTGCCTTTCCAATCAGTCAAGAGCAGAAAGCTGGACCACGCTGGGAAGGGTGTGCATCACGAGGTATGACGGTGGACACCCCGGGGAGGGGCCCAGGACCCGTGTAGGAAGAGGGTGCCCCGAAGCTGGGCAGTGGCATGCCTGCTGTTACGACGGAAGCTGACTGGGGAGCTAGGCTGGGGCTCAGTCATAACGCATAGCCATCAGCAGAGGAGACCGTGGAGGGCAGACTGAGCCCTGGGGACAGCACCTGCTCTAGTTACCCTCCTCCCCTTTCCTTTCTCCATCCCCTCACACCTGATGCTGTATGATGATTCTATAAAAAGGTCAGGATCTGGCTCTTCGGCAGCGTCCTGCATTGTGGGCCTGCCCCGCGACACCCGCTTCTTTATCCGTGTGGTGTTGCTGATGCAACACATCATGATTTTAAATATTCCTCTGCAAGAAGAGACATATCACCCGTACAGAGGGATGCCGGATAATACACATTGATTCCCTGCCCCAGAGCTGGGTTCCAGACCCGTCTCCCTCTTGAATGGTGGTAGAACTTCATGCCTTACTTTCAAAGAAGTAAGCATGGAATAGGAACAAGAACAGCTGATGTCACCCTAACCAAGAGATCAGGTCAACACCATCAGAGTTAATGCAAGATCAGGCTCATGATCGCATGTGAGGAGAAGGGCACCTGCATTGGGGTCCTCTCCCCGAAAATTATAACCTCAGTCTAATCGTGAGATACAATCAGATGAGCCCAAGCAGAGAGACAGTCTACAGAATTCCTGACCAGGTCTCCTTGAAGCCATTGAGGTCATGAAAAATAAAAAGAGGATGCCCCTTTGTAAACAAACCCGATACTGACCCTTTTGTGTGTACCTGCAGTATAACTGAATTGTGAGCACACGGGTGAGGCCCCACAGACAGGCGCCCAGTCCACTCTGGGCTACCCTGTAATACCGCCAGAGACTCCCTTGATCAGAGAGGGCTGGCCAACCCCAGGGCAGGCCCCTATCTGGAGGGCGGCAGAGGGGAGAAAGCTCTCGCCTCCCCTCTCAGTCAGGGCAGCGCCGAAGGTCATTGCCACTGCTGCACGCCCTGGGCAGGGCAGCCGGCTCCTGTCCTCCAGCACAAGGCTTAACCCTGACAGTGCTCCCGACGAATGTCCAGCACAGTATCGCCACCTCGAAGTTGGCTTCGGGGGGAACCCAAGTCCACACAGGATTGTGAACCACAGACCTGCACGTTCTTAACTCAGCCCAGCCCTACACAACGGAGGCTGAAGACGAGGCTGATGCAGCCAAGAACACGCAGCTAAGTAATGGTGCCCCCGGCGAAGCTCACACAGGCAAACTGAGCCACCCAGGTGTCTGAGCCAAAGATGGTGGAACAAAAAGCTTTGGTCTGCTCAGCCCCACTGACCAACACGGGCCTCCCGCCATGCAGGCAGCCAGCAGCAGGCCGGCGCCTCTCTCCAACGCCTTCCACACCTGCTGTCCCTGCAGTTCCTTCCATACTTACCAGAAGGGAAAGATAACAGCACCTGGCCGGTCAAGATCTTGTAGGGATTCAATGAGTTAATATAGGCAAACACCTCTGATTGGCCGTGGGTACAGAGAGAGCCCTTTATATGCAGCAGGTTAAAAAACTAACCACAAAGCCGCAACCCTGAGTCTAAGAAGACATTTGTGTTGCATGAGAATCAGCCGGCGGCGGCAACCCAGCTCTCTTAGGGGTGTCAGGCTTGACCTGAGCTGCAAAGGGGAGAAGGAAAGAAGTGGCAGCAAGAGGAAGGAAGGGTAGTTGGCCAGCAGGAAGGAAGGCATTCTGAACAGGTCCTCAGGCCAGCGTGAACAGCACAGAGGAAAAACCCAGATCCCAAAATGAGGCTGGAGAGGAGGGGAGGGACCAGATGTGAAAGGCCACTCACTACATGGGTGACTTGAACAAGTCACTTCATCTCTCTGAGCCTCAGCTCATCTGTAAAATGAAAATCCAAGCAGGACTGACCTTAAGAGGTCATTAAGAAGATGGAATGAATCAACATTTGAAAACCACTTAAGGTAGCACTGTGTATACCCTAGGTGCTATAAATGTTTGAAGGCCACAGCGGAACTTCTCCTGAAGTTCAATGGGAAGACACAGAGGGGTTTTATATGAATAAAAGGGAAAGTGAGGAGTGGATGGGAAGGTGATGCATTGATGGGTGATAAAGGAGGTTGGATGGATGGATGGATGGGTGGGCGGACGGACGGACAGCTGGGAATGTGGTGGGAGTAGATGTGTCATTGAATGGAAGCACAGTTGGGATGGAAATAGCTAGATTAATGGAGGTAACTGTGAATGAATGTGTGGGTGGATGTTAGGATCATGGGAGGGGCCTGAGAGTTGATGGCATGTACGTGGTTGGTGGACTAGGACACGAGTGGTTGGCTAAACAGGTGTCTGGATGTTTGGACGGGTACCTGGCTGAATGGATGGGTGGGTGACCGGATGGTAGGGAGGATAGAAGGACACAAAGTTGGATGGGTGGACGGGGTTGATGTAGAAGTGATTGGTGAGTGGATGGTTGTTCAGGTGAACATCAGAAAGGCTGAGTGACGGCTGGTGGCTGGGGGAATAGAGTTGGGTGAATGTTCCAAAGAGTAACTGTTCAAGTGGCAGCAGAGAGAGAGGTGAGTTAGTAAGTTGGGGGAATGGATGGATGACTAGGTAGAAGAGTGGTTGTCTGACCAGTTGCACATGTATTTGGGGGGCTGAATAGGTGATTCACTTCTTGAGTAACAAGAAGTGGGGTGGGCGGCTGGGGTGGGTAGCAGCTGGGCGAAGAGATGGTTTTCAGTAAGGGGTGAAGGTGATGGTGAAGTGAATGAAGGAACGGTGTCAATAGACAGATGAACAGCCGCGTGCTGGTAACCTTGGGTCCGATGACCCCTGGAAAGGCCATGGGGAAACCTCTTTGATGGGAAAGAAGCAGAAGCAGGTGTGGCTGTGTCCGGCCCGGCCCCCTTCGCGAGTGGGGTGGGAGCCCCTGGCCGCCCCGCGGGGCCCTACCTGGAGGCAGCGATCTCGGCCTTCTGGCGCGCGATGGCGGCGGCCCGCTGGGCCCCCTCCACGCTGTGCTCCACCTTCTGGCGGACCTTGCTGCTCTTGAGCGGCAGCACGCGGCGCTTGGTGCCCTTGACCAGCACGTTGTGGCGGTACTTGCCCTCCTCACGGCGGCCGTCGGGCAGCGTGGTGCAGCCGTAGCCGTGGCGCAGGTTGTCCAGCCACTCGCCCTCGTAGCGGAGGCCGCTGGAGCGCTCGCTCACGCCGAAGCCCGAGCGCTTGTCGTTCTTCCACTCGCCCATGTAGGTCTCGGTGGTGGTGGCGTCGATGTCGGCCTCGAAGGGCGCTGCCTCGTCCGCCCCCTCGGCGCCCTCGCCCAGGCTGGCGGTGGAGGCGTTGTCGCTGGCGCCGGAGCTGAGGTCGCTCTTGAGGAAGCTCACGCGGCTGCGCTGGCTGCCCAGAGACGCGCGCGACTCGCTGCGCCGCAGCTTGCCCAGCAGCGCGCCCCGCTGGAACAGGCCGCCGCCCTTGCTGGCGCGCGCCGCGGCGTCGGCGTTGGCCAGGAGGCTGAGCGCGAAGCCGCCGCGCGGGATGGCGGGCGAGGGCAGCGTCGGGCCGTCGGCGGTCGGCGCGGTGGGCGAGGCCTGCGAGTCCGGGGCCACCGTGCCGTTGCTGTGCTCGCTGCGCAGGGACGAGAGCGACGTGCGCAGCGGCGAGCGCACCACCACGGCCATCCCGTAGGGCACGCTCTGGCGCACGCCGTAGCCGTGGCGCATGCCGTTGGTGAACTGGCCTTGGTACGTCCCTGCAGGCGAGAGAGGGGTGTCAGTGGGGCCGCGCGACAGGTCCCGGCGCGCACGCTCACCTGCGTGTGCCAGGGCAGCTTGCACAAGGCCGTGGCAGGGCGGGAAGTGCGAGGTTAGAAAAGCGGGCGAAGCCGTCGGATGTGAGGTGCTACGCGTGTCACAGAGTGAGCAAGCCAGGGCTTGGCACAACCCTGTGAATTTCTCCACTGGAGGGGACACGACGTGGTGACAGGAGTGCGCGTGAGTGACGGTGCCGTTGGGAGCAGGGGCGAGCGCTGGCGGTTAAACGGGTGGGGACGAGCAGCAAGCCGCAAGAGCCAGGGAGAGGCTCGAGGGTGCGCACATATGTTGGTGAGAACACGGGCGGGCTTTTGGGGTGAAAAACTGGGGGTGAGGGAATGTGTTAGTGTTATTTTTAAAAAAGATTTATTTATGCACACAGAATTGGGGTACAGGCCAGAGGTGTGGGACAGAGTGGGGAGCAGAACAGGCAGATGGATGAAGTACACTGCTGAGAGGAGCAGCAGGTGGGTCAGGAGAGGTCTGCCCCACCATGTAGGTCACCCCTGTGTTGGGGATTGAACTCGCACTGGAGCGGCTGAGCCAGCTTGCAGTGCTGCGTCCTAACCCGTTGCGCCACCAGGGAGGGCCCCTGTGTTAGTTTTAAAGTGTGACATCTGAGCAGAAAAGGCGCTGTGAGTGTGGGTTGGAGCGAATGTGCACAAACAAGTGTGCACAAATGAGTCTCACAAGAGAGAACGCAAGCACACGGTGGCTCTTTGTGCGGGTGTGTGGGTGTACAGGGAGAGGCACTGTGGGAGTCCGCAGCATCATGAGTGTGCAAGGCAGTGTGTGCGGAGGTCCCCGAGATCACGTGACTGTCTCAGACTGAGGACCTTCGGGGTCTTGCAGCGCACAAGGAAAGGCTGGAGTGTGGTACAGACTGAGCGTCAGCCGGCACAGCCCAGGCTCGCCAGCACATCCGGTTCAGGGTGTGTGCATGGCTACCCTGCCCGATGCTGCTCAAGTCACGGGACTGAAGGTCATGTGACTGTCGGAGCGGAGGAGGTGGTGAGTGTGCATAGGCGTGTGTGCTGGCGAGCCGGGGAGAGTGGTACTGGCACAACAACGCCACCTCCCGCTCATCCTCTTCCCTCACCCACACCCCATCCACCTTCCGGGTCTCTCTCCCCAGCCGCACTCCCCCGGCGCCTCTTATGTCCCCATCATTGAATCAAAGGTGGATATTTGAGCTGTTTTAAATACAAGCCGATGCTTTCCTGGGATTAACCAAAAAACCCAAACAGTGTTCTTCCCACATGCGGAGGAGGGCTGGGCGATAAACTGGGAAGAGACCCCCAAGCTCAGCCGGGGGGCTTTGCACGCAGCTCGCTCAGCCTGAAACACTCCCTCTCCGGGGGGCTGTCACATCTTGCTCACTGAGACCAGTCTGCCTGTATCTTCCACCCCAAGTGCCAAGCTCACCTGGTCCACTTTGACTTTTTTTCTATAACATTTACCCCCTGCCAACATTCCACATGACTCACTCATTAAGCTACGACTGCCCCTCCCCTCCTCCGCTAGAATGGAAGAAGTGTGGGTGCAGGCATCTTTCCTGTTTTGTTCTCGGATGCATCCCCAGCACCTGGGACAAGGCCTGGCACGTGGGGGTGTGCCACACGCGCCATAAATATTTGCTTCATTGGCTGAACTTGTTCAGAACTCCATCCCAGTGCATGAGCTTGGGCACTGTAATCCCTTGTAAAGACCTTGATTGTCTGGTGTTCGTGTCCTGTCTTCCAGCACTGAACAGGAAGCTCTCTTAAGATCTGACCGACCTTTGAGATGTTGAGCTCTAGGAACTAGTGCACCATGACCTTGGAGGTGAAGGACAGCTCACCTGCCTGGCTCCACGCCACCTGGTCACCCCTGCAGAGACTCCTGCTGCTCAGGGAGCCCTTCTAGCCTGCCCCAGCCCTGCCGGCACGAAGGGCCCCTGTGAAGGATCGTACAGGGTGAGGACTCACTTAACCTCTCAACAGCCTGGGAGTCGGGTCCCGATATGAAGGCCACTTAGAGGACCGGAAGTTGGTGGTCTGAGGGTTAGGTGACTTGACCAAGGAAGCAGGATTCACGTTAAGTCAAGCTGATGCACTCCATCCTGGCACCTAGTGAGGAGAAATACCTCCCTTCTTTGCTTCATTTTTATTCTAAGCATCCTTATTGTAACATATAATTTGGGGTTTTTTTTTTTCTTTTATTATCATCTCCCTTTCTAGAATATAAGTTCCAGAAAGGTTGGGATTCCAATTTTTTTTGGTCCACTGTTGCAGCCTTTCCAGTACCAAATAGGTACTTCACAAATATTTGAATGAATGAATGAACACCATAATGAATGAACCATGCCTTCTCTAGCTCTTTATTCTCTTCTTCCTGCTTGATCCATCTGAAAACAACTCTGTGCCAGCCCCTGGAGAGGTCCAAGTGGCTCCTAGAAGATTTGCCCACGCTGACATGCCAAATACATACACCGGCACCCAGGCTCATAGTCAGGCTTTGCTTTTTCTCCTTGTCTCAAAAGAAAAAAGTAGGGAAGGAGAGAAAGTGAACCAGAACAGAGAAGGCAGGAAAGAGAAAACATTTCACCTTTCAGTTGGACAAGTTGGTGAAATTAAATCAGCCAGTCCACCTTTAGCTTAAAGTTGGCATGCGATGGGCTGACATGGCCCCTTTAAGCCCAAGAAAAACTGAGTGGACAGGAGAGTAGCACTTGGCCACCCACTGAGGAGGAAACGGCTGGCCTGGCTGGGCTATATTAGGAAACTTAGAAGCCAGTGGCAAGAGGCTCCGACACCCTGGGGAGGCCGGGAGTGGTGGGGCCTGGGAAGGGGAAAAGCCAGTCCGGGACCAGCCCCAGCCGGACTCTCTAAGATAGGGCAGCGCTCCCTGGGCACAGCAAGAGGGCAAGGAGGACAGCCCAGCCCACAGCCCTCTGTGCCAGCCCTCCTCGGCTACCCTCTGGCTTTGTAAATCCTCTGGGGCTTCCCAACACCCTGGCCCTAGGACCTAGGGCCTCGGGAGCTGCCTGTCAGGCTCTGCAGGGGTCGCCCTGCCCAGCTCTCCCCACTGGTCGGGAACACGGTCCAGGCACCTGGCCTTCCCACCACAGGACCTTTGCACCTGCTCCCCTGCCTTGGCGCGCTCCTCTCTCTCTCCCTCCCCTTGCTGACTTTACTGCTGTTTCAAGCTTCAGCTTAAATGTGATTTCATCCAGGAAGATTCTTGAACTCCGGGCCCTGAGTACCGCCACCTAATGTCCTGTTACTCCGAACTTCCTAGCACTTTTCCCAATGACAGTTAAATAGTGATGGTGATCAAACTGTGCACCATAAGCCTTTCTACCAGATTTTGCCTTCCAAGAGAGAGGGGCTGTGTCTAGCTTATGACTGGCTTATTAGCAGCCCCGTGCTACGGCCCCGTGCTAGCCAGCCCCAGCCCCAGGGGACAGCCAAGAAGCTGTCTTCTCCCGAATTCAGGGACCACTTCTCCCCACCCCCACCCCCACCCCGCCTGACTCAGCGCCTGCCGAGTACTCAGCAGTGAATGGCAGTGGAGGCCAAGCGTGTTTGGGGCTAGATTCAGCAACTCAAACTCTGGAGTTATTGGGGTACTTGCAAGAGGTGGGTGAAAACTGTAGCCAAACACCGGCTCGACTCCCTTCAGCAGTTTCCTAAATTTAAGAAAACCTGAGTCTCCCCTTGCCCCTGCAGCTGCCCTTCCGGCTTCGTGTGGAATAGACTGGGTTTGAGCCTGACTGACGCTGAATCGCTGTAAACTTGCGTAAATGAGAGGCCTGCTGGGCTTCGCTGGTCATCCTCTACCATGGAGGCGGTGAGCCCCACAACCACTCCATGGTCATTCGTTCTCCCCTTGGACTTCCCCAGGGGTGTGTTATGGCCCAGCATTCTCAGTGCTAGGTGCTGGGGTAGAGAAGGTCCCTGCCCCCAGGGAGCTTGGTGCATGGCACCACAGGCAGAGTAAAATCCATCAAAAATCACGAACACAAATGGGAAGCAGACACAGCAGCCGTTCGGAGAGACGATGGTCCAGGTCTCTCACTTGGAGTGAGTACAGAGGGTTGGTTGGCCAAAACTTAAGTGAACTATATATGGGACAGCACATAACAGGTGCTCAATAAAGACGAGTTTTTTTTTTTAAAGATTTATTTATTTGCGCATACAGAACTGGGGTACAGGCCAGAGGCTCAGGGGTGGCGAGGGGCTTCACCAGAGACAGAGTGGGGAGCAGAACAGGCAGATCGACGAAGTATACTGCTGAGGGGAGCAGCGGGCGGGCCAGGAGAGGTCTGCCGTGCCCTGGTCTACTCCGGGGCAGGCGGGAATTGAACTCATGCGGAAGTGGTTTCAGCTTCTTAGTGCAGTGCTTTAACCCGCTGCGCCATCAGGGAGGGCCAAGACGAGTTTTTAGCAGGCAGTGTACGCTAAAATGTAGACCCAGAAAAAGGATTCACTGGAAAGATGAAACGGAGCCAGGAGGGGGGATCTCAGGGAGGGAAAGTGACCAGGTTCCGGCCTCAGGCGCCTTGCTTGTGAGAGAACAGGTAAGCATGGGCCCTGAAAGCCCAGCATCCCCTGAAGGCAGGAGAAAGCCTCAGAGATTCCACCCTCGGGAGGAGGACCATGGTAGAGTTGTTCCCCAGTGACAACCTGTGTCACATTCCCCAGCACGCAGGATGGCACGTGGCTGGAGACCACGTGTGCACACCCGTTCTTATTCCAGAGTCGATGACTCAGTCACTGTGGACGCCGGAGTTTTTTCAAGCTCTTCAGATGCTGCTACTACACAGCCTGGGGTGAACTGCAATGAGCCAACTGCTTTGTTCCTTCTGGAAAATCTGCTTTGTTTTCTGGGCTAAAACAACAGACATTTATTTCTCACGGGGAGGCTGGAATTCCAAGACCAGGGTGCAGCACTGTCT